GAAAGGAGGCAGGTCTGGCATCTACACTGCATTAGGACAGAAATAAACAAAAGTACACAAATGCAGTTAAATTTACTAAAAGCTTTAGGTCCATATTTTGGAAGTGAGAAACAACTGAGTCCTATTTTTAAACATTCACTGACCCTTAATCAAAATCAATGTTTTTAACACAACTCTTCATTTAAAAGGATACAAAATTTACAAGCAGTTCAATTGCTAAGTTTAAAAGGATTTAGTATCTGATGAAAACTTACCATTCCATGCAACTTGGTTTACATACTAGCAGCTCAAGAATTTTCTAGGTCTAATGCTCCTTTTTAGAGACCAGATAAACACAATGTGCAGGTTAGAACCAAAATGCTCATCTCTCATTTATCAGGCTGTGCACAGTTCCCTTCCCAAAGGGATGTATTAAATAAGACTTAATGGAGAAACCAATGAATATAAGGATGTCCCTCATGCAATATGGTCACACTTAAAACTTTATTAAGAACTTCCTAGAAGAAAAAAAAAAAAACCACATGACAGACGTTGGTGAGACCCTCACCTTCAGGATATTCCTCTCCTTCAAATGATCAGCTAAAAGGCCACCTTTCTATCAGGTGGCCAAAGTGATGGCCACCTCCAAAGTGAAACAGTTTCTAAAGGACTGACTGGTAGCCAGCCTTTCTTGTGAACTACAACTCATTGTAACCTGCAGCTGCTGACAGACAAGAAATAGAATGTAAAAGTTTCAGCAGTGAGATGCATAACTAATTAGTAATTTCCACATAGGAAAGGTGTCCAAGCTATCCAGTAAACAGAACAAATATAAACACAGCTGCAAACAGCAGTAGTCAATTCTTTTAACACAATCCATGCCAACATCTGTGGTCCTGCAGTAATATTCAATTTTGCCCACTAATTTACTTGCCATAGTCATGACTTGCCTACACAAGCACTTAGAGCATAACTGGAAGCAGTGTGCTTTTGTGCTGTGGCAGGGTCTCCCTCCATGCTATTCAAGCCTGTAATAGCACTCCAGCAGCCTTCTCTGAGCACAGCACAGAGAAATCTAATTTTCCTTAGATATTTAATAAAGAAAAGGGAAAAGGCTCTTCAGAGAAATGATGTACCTGCTCATCATCAAATGAAGTCAGTTATGTTCTGATTAGTTGGCCACTGACTTCTGCACTTTTATTTGCAAATAAGGGCCTGTTTACTTCTTTCAAAACAGGGGAAGAACGAAAGGAGATCAATGAAACACAGATGGTTTTTTGTGCCAGCCTGACACCAAGAAGTTCACATAAAAATCCCAGGTCCATTTTAACTTAATGCATCTCATCATGGAATTTAAACTTGCTTTTGCAATCTTGTCTTAGAAAGACTGACCACAAATCTTTCTCCAAAGGCCTGAGAAATACTTGCTAAGACTTCAGCTAAACCCATGAAGTTCCACCAGTAATGCATTCTAATGGAGAAAAAAATTACTTTGCTCAATGAATATTGAGTTTTAGCTCTGCTGTTTCAGACAGCATAGAAGCTGGAATTTCTTTTTACTATGTCTGGAAGTAGTTTACTGCTTGAGCTACACATAATCCAGAAGAATGCATGAAAAGTGAGACACATAAAACTAACTTTTACACAATAGTTATGTCAACAGCACATGTTCAAAATGTTAGGTTTTGGCTAAATAATAACTTTTTTAACACCCATTTTAAGTGACATTTGATAGTTTTAGCCTTCTATAACAAAAATTAACAGTAAACTCCTCCAACATCTTCTTAGCTACAAGTGCAAGGTAATTTATGACAACAACAATCCATTACTGAAAGACTGACCCCATCTGCCAGCCTGATGAAAACAATGAAAAAAAAACAGTTAATGCAATATAAGATATTGATGAGTCAAAACTCTTAAGATCATGTTATGATGTCATCAAACAGATATTTAATGCTATGCTAAGAATCACTAAGATTTAGACATGACAATAGGCCATAAGAAAACTCAGGTGTTTAGGAAGATCAAGAGCTTACCATATGGCAGAATACATGAACACTGCCTACTAGCAAAATATTAAGTTTGGATTTTTCTTTTTTTTTCAAAGGATTGAACCATAGAAGCAAAAGCAATACTGGTCAGACAAGACAATAAAGTAACATAACCCACCAGAGACAGGTAAGGTTTGTTCAGGCAAAAGAACAAAAAGATATTTGATGATGGCTTTTGCCTGCTTTCTAAGTTGGAAATTAGGACAAAATAGGTGTCCACAGACATTCTATCACATCACCTTACTTCTTGTCTAGAATTAAGACTCACCCTAGTATTTTACTTCAACTCCAAATATACAGCTGCCTCACAGGGACTGGGGAGGATCACTCCTACAGACAATTAGCAAACAAAGTCACACTGGCAACATCATCACTGCCATTGTGACTGAAAGAAGATCCACTGCATGATCCCTAGAGCAGGCTCAACTAGGGATCCTAGGCTGTCCCCAAAACACCACTGGATGGCTAAACTGAATAGTTTCCAGAGTTCTCAGCAGTTAGATGACATTAAGACTAATTATGGAAAAGTGACAATTCACTAAATCACTTCTGCTGCTCTGAGCAGACTGTTTCTGTGCACACACACACGACAAAACCACATCACAGCCATGTGTACAATGAGCAGAGGCAGAGCAGGGCCCAGGCTCTATCCATCACCAGCCCCCCATTCCATGCAACCACTGGCTGGAGAAGGAAGGGATGCACTGCAATGGACAAACTTGAGCAGAGATCACTACAATGAAAGCAAGACAGTATTCCCAGCTTAAAGGAACCCAAACACTACAACATGTGATGGGCAGTGTTACAAACACAGAAAGCACAAGGCTGAATTCAGCATGCTGCCTACAAACTTCAGTGACATAGTCAAGAATTTCAGGGAACCCATTTCACTACTTTAAATGACATATTACTATAATATTTACTATCTGCCTTTTCTAAAACTGTTACTGTTTTAATTGGGTCTACAAAAAAGAATTAAGAGTCCATAATCGAGGCAAGTATAGGCTGGTTTAGAAAGCAACATTCATAAACTCAGGGTTAGTTTTTATTATTGTTTCTTGGATCAACCAGAAAAGAATTTTTTTCTTGTAAACTATGCACTTGACACTTTAAATGCAAATGTTACATTCTCTCTGTTTCTTAAGCATTAGAATTTCTTTTTTCTACAAGATAAGGAAACTTAAGGGTAAGAAAGGGTAAACAGTCTTAAGTATGCATACCCCCAACTCAGCTGTTTTCCTCCCTCTAAATTGTGATATTTGAACCTTGAAATAGCAAAGTAAGCATGAAAGCAAAGTTTTTTCATGACAAAGGACTTGTCTTCCCATTTTTAAAACTTCTCTGTTTACCATCAGTCTTACCCAGAAAATAAACTGACAGTAACTGCTTAGGCATGTCACTTTCTCCATCCCTTCTTCTGCCATAAATCTAGAAGGGCTTTTCTCCTATCTCTTCAACTACTCTAACCACCTCCTGCTTACTTGTTCAACAGCAATTCAACAAGTCCACAGAAGACAAAGATATGAAGAGCAATTCCAAAATACCCAACCAAACAAAGCCACATTACCAAAACAAAATATCCAAGCCACTAGCTGAAGCTCAAGAAGTGCTTAAGCCTCAACCTGTGGGAGTGTAGGTAGAGACATGGGAAGGAAGTAGGGCTGTTCTGTTGAAGCTTTCTTCTCCAAACATCTGTTCCTCTTCAAAGTACTGTGGGACTGGATGGACACTCAGTGACAATCACTACAGCTGCTGTCAGCCCACTTGATAAAATTCAGGCAATGCTGACTCATAATACTGAGTGCTTTCCTTCTGATCATGCCCTTCTTTCACTGGCTGTCTCTATTTCCTCTCCTAATCCTTACTTGAGAAAGAACTCATATCTATGCATTTCAAAATAAGCCTTAAATCTTTATAAGCATAAATACAGAGCTGTGATCAAAGCTGTCAACTCACACTGGGAAAGGGAAGAGAAATAAACGGGCACATTTAAAAAAACATTTTAATGCTATCTACCAGCAAACCAAACAAGATCCAACTGCCATTTCCTTTAGGTAAACGAAGTAAAGTGAGTTTAAAAAAAAAATTTGTAAATAATTTGGAGAGAAGTAAAGCAAAAAAGAATATTATCTGTCCTTCTCTGTATTAGCATCTCCTTTCTACGTCTTTTGCATGTGATCTTTGCAAAAGAAAGCTATCCTAGACTGACATGGAGTACGATGTTTTGATGCAGGCAGTGCTAATGGCAGCACACGCTGGAAATTGAAAATCGTATAAGCCAACTTCTCCTTTGCCACAAAACTGCTTTATCAATGCTGACGATTAGCAGGTGTTACATGGAAGCACGGCCATAACTGAGGAATATGTAAGTAGCCATAAACCTGGAATATGTAAGTAGCCAGAATATTATTATCGACTTTTTACCCTCATTATATAATCACCTTCAGGCTGATGCAGCACGAGTTATCGTTATTTATTTTGAAAACCGAAAATTATCTCGCTCAAGAACGACAGACGCGCGGGTTCCCGGCCCGGCGTTCCGCCGATAAGCCAAGGCAGAACTCGCCCTCCGCAGACAGAGCCGCCGGAGACTCGCCGAGCCGCGGCCCGTCCCGCGGCCGGTGCCTCGGGGCGCTTCCACCGTGCCCGCTGCCCACCCGCGTCCCGCGGGGCCGGGGCGCGGAGGGGCCGGGACACGCCGGCCCCGCGGCCCCCGAGCCGGGCAGGGCCGCAGAGCGCGGCCTCTCCGCACCCCGCCCGGCGCGGACGCTCCCTGCCCGGCAGCGCCGCCCGCTCCACCGCCCACCGCGCCAGGAGGGCCCGGGCGGGGGCGGCCGGCGCTGCCCCGGCACCGCTCGGCCCCGCCGCCGCCCGAGGGGACGGCGCAGCGCGGCCGCGATCGCCGCGCCCCGCCCGGGCCCGGCCGCCCCCCGCCCCCCGCGGCGGGGCCGCGCGCCCGGCGCGCCTCACCTTGGGAGCGCTGCCCGCGGCGGGAAGCGGCGGCGCGTGCGGGCATCGGCGTCCGCGCCCCGCCGAGCCCCGCGCGCCGCTCCGCCGGCCCCGGCTCCCGGGCCACGTCCCTGTCCGCGCCGCGCGCAGGCGCACTGGGCGCGCAGCCGCCGCGAGGGGCAGCCCCGGCCCCGCGGGCCCCCCGGGAGGGGCGGGCGGCGGCTGTGCCTCGCCGTGCTGCCTGCGGGCGGCCGGAGCCCGCGGGTCCGACGGCGGGAACCCACCGGCGCTGCTCCCGTACGGTGTCACGGCTCTCCCTGCGGGTCTCGGGGCTCCCGGTGCCGTACGCTGGAAGGCCGGGCGGCGAGCCGGCTCCGCAGCGTGCGGATCGCTCGCGTGCTGCCCTCGTGCGGGTCGCCCGCTGTGTCACCGCCGCCGCCTCCGCACGGCCCCGGCCCTGAGCCGAGCCCCGGCCGGCCCCGGGTCGCGGCGTCCTCGCCGCCCGCACTCGCTCCTCGCGGCAGCGGCTCGGAGCCACCGCGGCGCCGCCGCCGCACGAGGGGAGGCCCCTGCTCGGGTTTGGTGTGGTCAGAGCGTCTGCCCGGGCATCTCCGTAACGCCGGCTCTGCGCTAGGAGCTGCGCACGGTAACGCGCTCTCCGGGAACGCCACAGCCTCGGGCTACACGGGCCCGTCCCTAGGCTCATTTGTCTGACACGTTTCAGTCAGATGCCGATTAGGTTACACAAACAGTTGAGACACTGTCTGCCCGGAGCAGCTCCCCATCTAATAATGAACCCATTCGCCATTGTCATTCTGCAGTGAGTAGAGACTCCTAGACTAAACCGTACAGAAATTTTCATTTGGAAGAATTCTAACAAGACCTTTAATAAATAATTTTAATTTAAAAATATTTATGAAAGTAATTCCAACACTACCAGAATACATACTGTACTCTATAACACTACTTCATAGCCAAGTATGCAGAAATACATTCTTTAAAAAAAAAAAGTATGCAGCAATAGAAAGGATAGGCTATCGCCAGGCCTTCAACCAAACTTTTTTCATTGAAATAAGGCTGTCACTCCTGCAAGAACAGCAAAAAAGATCCGAAACAATTACTACAAGTGACCACAAGGGTCAATCCAGTCAGGGACAACAGCCGTACTGCCTTGAGTCCTCTGCTGACAAACAGGGAGAGCGTTTGTCCTGCTTGCAGGAGATGCTGCTCAAGCATCAGTTTTGCCAGTCCAAGAGACTTATAAGTACTTGTCACTGCTCTAAAACCCCTGCTTGATCCCTTGCTCTCCAGAACACACCTAAGTCAAAATACCACATACAAGAGAAATTGAGAAATAACATTAAAGGAATGGTTTTCCCCCTATCAACATGACATGAATAAAAGGTACTTCATTAAAGCATTGAAAATACTAGCTTTTACCTTAGCATGTTCAGGGTGCGTATGAATAGCAGTCACCCTTCCAACAAACATTGCCACTAAAAGCCAGAGGGAAAAAAGCCCAGAGGAGCCATTCACCCTGAATTTATAAGAGATGCTGGGGTGGGGCTAATAGACCCAGCTGGGGTCTCCATCTTGCAGGGTGGCAATGAGCAAGAAAGCATGTGGGTGTGGCAGGTTAACAGGCTGACTTTTGCCATGGCAAGCTATTTGAGGAGTAAAAAGTGTTTTTACAGAGAAAAACAAGAAATTGATTTTGTTTTTCCTTGTTTAACAAAACCTAACAAGCCTTGCTTATGATACCATTGTCTGTGAGGCATTTGTCATGGAAGTAATTGCCCAGTAGTAGCAGCAGACTTTTTGAAGACTATGGATTTATATGCCAGAGGGGAGGAAAAAAAAAAGTGCTCTGCTAGAGATACTTTCTGTACAAATTGAAAAGCACATAGAATTCTGAGCTTTCTAAAATTCATTCTTAGATCACAGAATCATTTTTCAATTAGGTTGAAAAGATCTCCAAGATCATTAAGTCCATCCTTTGATCACCACCTTGCCAGTGAGGCCAAGGCACTAAGTGCCACATCCAGTCATTTCTTGAACTCCTCCAAGGATTGTGACCGTGCCACCTCCCTGGGCAGCCACTTCCAAAGCCTAACCACCTTTTCAGCAAAAAAATTCCTTCTGATGTTCAATCTGAACCTCCCCTGGCACAGCTCAAGGCTATGTTCTCTTGTCACTGGTTGCCAGGGAGGAGAGGCAAATCTCCGTCTTGCTACAACATCCTTTCAGACAGTTAAATTACTTCCGAAGCTGGCAGCTCCCTACCAAGTAGGAACCATGCTGGTATTTGCCTGATGTAGTAAACATTTATTTTTTCTTTAACTTTCTTGGTTATTTATATCAAAGTATTTTTTTTTAAATACTGGCTTATGTGTAACTAGCTAAGTGGATTGTTTGTATTTTTTAGTGAAATGAATGAGCATAACCAGACAAATGCATCAGGAATGAAGATTCACTATTGCCTGCCAATGTCAAGAAACCTAATGCCATTTGACCTGTTTGATCCAGTGTACATATGTGTGCAAGTCTACATTCTTGCTTTAATGCATCAAATATCAATAATCCCAAGCAGCTATAATTTATTGTAGGAACAGTATTGAATTGAGATTTTGGTTTTGGTTTGATGTTATTAATTACTTGCTGCTTGATCGGCTGTGAGAATTTTCCCTAGAAAATGACGGGAATTAAAATCCTATAACATATACATAAATGGTGACTTTTTAAAGGATCAAATCCATGGATTGCTTTCTGTTTAAGACCCCTTCTCCGTGCTACATCTCCGGCTGGTACTGGCGGCGCACCTCTCACCGCCCGCGCTCGGTCCGCCGGGCCGGCAGGGGGCAGCACGGGCCGCGCGCGGCCCCGCCCCGCCGGGCAGGGCAGGAGCTGCGGCTGCGCGGCGCGCGCGGCCTTTTCCCGTTTGCTGCGGAGCGCAGTCGTTGTGCGGAGCGGGCGCCGGCCTCAGGGACCGGACAGTGCCTGGCACGATGGTCGGTACCGGCACGGGGGGGGTCGGCGGCATCGCGTCCGTCGTTCCGCGGCCGCCGCGCCGCGCTGTCCGCACGGATGGAGCCCGATTGTCGCGGGCTCGGGGCGGCCGCCCGGCGCCGGCGTGGCAATGGCTGCCATTCTGAAGGGGCTGCGCCGCGGGCGGTTTGAGGGGCTGCCGCGGGGCCCGGCCCGGCCCCGTTACCGGCTGCGCTGTCCCCATGGGCTGCGGGGTCCCACCGGCGGCTGGGTCGGGGCCGAGCCGCCGGGCCGGTGCTGATGCAGCCCCCGGTGCCCTGCAGCAGCCGCGCCGGGCCCCGGCGTGCGGGTGTCGGAGCGGCTGAGGGCGGGGGGCGGCGGGGGAAGCGGCTCCGTGGCGGAACGGGCCAGAGAAGTCGCGGCTGTGCGGGAGTGACAGGAAATGAGCGCGGTCATTGCTCCTGCCCGTGCGGACGGGCCTTTTTTCATGGCACGTTTAGTTGGAATGGTGTTGGCTTACAGGGTTATATGTTAATAACGCATAGTTTATGTTTCTTATCCAAGGGGTTTGTGAAAGTTGTCAAGAATAAGGCGTACTTCAAGAGATACCAAGTGAAATTCAGGAGAAGGAGAGGTATTATTAAATTGCCTGTAACACACAATTAAATGTCCTTGGTGAATATTTCTGGTTTATGCATGCATTTTGCACACTGCAACTGTTGTTTTTCAGAGGGAAAGACTGACTACTATGCTCGGAAACGTTTGGTTATTCAAGATAAAAACAAGTACAACACTCCTAAATACAGGATGATTGTGCGTGTTACCAACAGAGACATCATCTGCCAGGTAAGGCCCGCCGCCGTGTCTGCTGCTTACCTGCCAGCCTTGCAGGGTGAGGTCAGCACAGAGAGGGAGGCTTGGAGCACCTGGGGTTTCTTAGGCCAGATCTGCGCGGTGTTTGCATTGTAAAACAGCTCCTTAGAGGAGGACAATCTTCAGTGTTATCACAACTTCAGTAATAAACCGTGTGCATTGTAGAAAAAAAGTTCTGCATGTGTTAGGACTTTTGCTGTGAGGTTATTTGTTGTGTAAGATTGTACTGCTTTAATAATTCTGGGCTAAGTAGAACATTTTTGAGAGAGGGAAGATATCTCTGGGGGGGTTTTTGCCATATTTAAAGGGCTTCAAAAAGAGGCCTTTTTTGCTTGGCTGAAGACAACCAAGTTCACAGTGTGACCTGTTAACCTGCATTGACTTGTGCTATGTCTAAAGGTTCTCTTTTGAGAGTTCTATTTCCGTGTTGTGTGGCTCACATGAAGCTCTGAGGCTTTATGATGGCTTTCCTGTGAGATTGAAGGAGGCTTGTAAACAAGAACAGGCACTTTTTCATGCTCGTTAGGCTGTGGTTGTGTGTAGCATCATATGCAGTTCCTCACTGTGGCTCACTTTTATTTAATTTTTAGAATGTTTTGACTAACTTTTAAGTTTAAAACTTAGGAATGCCTGGTTTATAATAAATAGTTGTTGTTGAGCTCAAAAAGGAAGCAGCTAAGTTAAACTTGGTTTTTCATAGAGTAGTTATCTGATGAGAACAGTTCAGTCATTAATGAATGAAGATCAGTGGTTGCAGGGGCTTACATCTGACTGAAAGTCCTTTTCCAGTATGTCAGAATCCTGCAGAAATGGGATGACATTTGGATATAGAGAGGAGATGTGAGAGTCAAAAGGAGAAGATTCTGTACCTGAAAGGAACAGCAGAAACCTGTCTGGTAGTCCTGCTGTCCCACAGGTGACCCTGGGATGATGATGGTCTTAGACCATGATTAATCAAATCATTCCATAAAGTTACTAACAGTGTTGACATGCTGCTTGTATTTTTTGAGATGTATCAGAAAATGGGACAGAACTCATCCCCATTCATAGTGATTCTTTGAAAGGTTACTATTATAGGCAGCTTCTGGCCTGATTTATGTGGAAAGGTAATAACCAGTTGTTGCTGACAAACATTTTAGCTGGCCTAATACAGGTTTCATTTCTTTGTGTCTTTACTTGAGGAGTTGATGACTCCTTTTGGAAAAACAAGCAAACAACGGGGGGAGACGGGAGGGACAGAACAAACAAATAACCCCCCAACAAACCAAAGCAGCAACACTCCTTGAGCTTGCATGCAGAGCTTGGCAGTTGTTGCACACTCGGACCCAGCGTGGCTTGAGTAGGTGTCAGAAGAGGAACAGGGAGCCCCAACGTTTGTGTGTTGCAGATTGCCTATGCCAGAATCGAGGGGGACATGATCGTGTGCGCTGCCTACGCCCACGAGCTGCCCAAGTACGGCGTCAAGGTGGGGCTGACCAACTACGCTGCTGCCTACTGCACCGGCCTGCTCCTGGCACGCAGGGTACGTACGGGCACGCCCGGGGCTGCTGCTCTGCTGCTCCTCAGGGAACGGGGACACCCTTCCCTCAGGGCTGTGGCAGCCCACCGAGTCTTGGGGGCTCTCAGAATCAGAACTTTCGCTCTTTACCATCATGGATTTGATGTGGCTTGTGACTGTCGAGTCACAGGGAGAGGTCTGACAGCATGCAGTCTCAGCTCCAGCAGCCCACTTTTATGCCTCAGCACTTGAGTTTGGTGGAGAAAGGGAGGGAGGGAGGGAGGATAAAAATGTAAGAAATGCACCTTGTAGAGTTCAAAAGTATGTAAACAGCAGCCATCCATTTTCCACAGGGGTTCATGAATATGTTCAGTGGTGTACCTGTAGGAACAGAAGGTTGGAACTTAACAGACACACTTACAGTGGTGGTTGTTAAGAATCTTTGTTATTATTATTGGTACATACTTTTTGTAAAGAAATTTGTTAAAGACATGATTCTACTGCAAATTCACATTTTAAAGTAATGGTAATTCTAAATTATTATCAATAAATGGAGGTAATTTCAAAAGTGTGCTTTCTTTCCTCACAGCTTCTGAATAAATTTGGCCTTGATAAGATCTATGAAGGCCAAGTTGAAGTCACTGGCGATGAATACAATGTGGAAAGTGTGGATGGCAAGCCTGGTGCTTTTACATGCTACCTGGATGCAGGTCTTGCCAGAACTACCACTGGAAACAAAGTCTTTGGTGCTCTGAAGGGTGCAGTGGATGGGGGGCTGTCTATCCCTCACAGGTAACGTGTGTTACAAAGAATTTCTTTGGGGTTAGCCTGAGATGCTTATGTATGTGACAGTCTACTTACACTAATCAATTTATGCTGGAATAATTTTGTACTGACCTAGTAATAGTTATGTAATTAGATTCTGGGTTTGAAGGTTTTTTGTTGGTTGGTTTTTAATCTGCAAATGCAATTCTGATAGTGCTGCTATGAATCTTACAATTGTCGAGATGTTACAAAACTTGTCGTAACTAAAGAACTATCTTGTTGCTTTTACCAAAAATCAAGAGAATGCCCTTATCAGATCTTCAAAAGGGTGTTTGCTTGGTGTGAGTCTTCACAAAGTTATGTGTAGGTGTTAATTTCATTGCGAAAAAATTACTTACCAGGTACAAACCCACTGGTACTTGCTACAGTTGTCAGTACAGCAGTAAGTCTGAGCAGTTCACCTTCATTTAGAATTTCCACATGGATATTTTGACTGTTACCTAACAATGGTATTACAGCTGAGTGCTGCTTTCTGGTAGCAGGAGTGGAGTAAGAAACTATTGAGATCTTTTGTGTGTTTTCCTGCCCTCTCCCATGCTGTCCTATTCTTGGCTAATTGTCCAGTTGTTTTGAGTTGGCTGCTACGTGATGATACTTGCAGTGACTGAACACGCCGTAGTTGGTCCACAGCGTGTGTCTGATGTACTGCAGTGTTTCAAGACGGGACTGATGGCAGCTGAGATTAATTTAAAACGTCCAATTTTTATAAGAGGGTCCTATCCCTCAGTTATCTGTAGGAGAATCTGATGTATGAGTCATTTCAGTGTGCATCTTAGCCTCTGCATTAGAGCCTTAATGTGACTGTCCCTGCTGTTTGACAGCACCAAACGTTTCCCTGGCTACGACTCGGAGAGCAAAGAGTTCAATGCTGAGGTGCACCGCAAGCACATCATGGGCCAGAACGTGGCCGATTACATGCGGTACCTGATGGAGGAGGATGAAGATGCCTACAAGAAACAGTTCTCCCAGTACATAAAGAACAATGTAACACCTGATGGGGTAAGGTTCATCCAGCTGGAGCTCGGGAATTTAAATAGAGAAGCTGATAGGGACTTCTCTAATAATGCCAATAAGTCTGATAATGTAGCATGTGACTCATGTTGTATGTTACCTATGCAAAGAAAATTTTTTTTCCTTCATTAAGGGCTCTAATATTAGTGTAGAACTTCTGAAAGTGGAACCTTTTTGCCTGCTCTGAAACTTTATATTCTGCCTATAAATCAGACTTGACCTAAATCTGTGCTGGACCACTTTCCCCCCTTCCCAAAAATCTAAGTAAGAAGTTTCTGTACAAACTCTCTACTCTTTCCTTATCCTGCCCCACAGCCTATCATTTCTGCAGATGTAGTGCTTGTACCATGGGTGAGCATGTGGTTGTGGGTCACATCTGTGGTACTGTTTGTGTGACCCTAGAAGGGAGTTTGCCTATTCCAGGAGAATAGAGAGAGCCCAAGGTAGCATTTCATGAAGGTCTAGACTGTAATACACTTTATTTTAGTACTGCTTCACATTTTAGAGTTAATAAAATACTAGAAGATGGGTAAGAATACAGAGGTGGTTCTTCTAGTTTTTTCAAGTATTAAACTCCTTCCACATGGCTTGTGCTGCTGCCTCTAGTATTCTTGCTTGGTTCGCCTAGTAAGTGATCTTGCAGCTTTAAAACATAGCTCCCTCATATCCCCTTTATAGGCTACAGCAAACTTCATTCTTTATCCCTTCATTTCCATGGGGTTTTGGGGTTTTGATAAATTTAACTAGTTGCTAGTTTTTTTCTAACAAATTATAAAAAGAAAGTAATATAAATGCCAACTTCATCTGCTTTCTAAACAAATAGTAGTTATAGCTTGCATTCAAACAAAGCGAGCCTAGGATTTAGGTCACTATATAGACACTTCCTCTTTGCACATCTAAAAAGTTTTTCACAGCTGAGATCTAGTGGTCCTAATTAACCACCAGCAAAGATATTCTTAAAATTTGTGGCATTATGGAGCCAGAGTTGCCTTTGGGATAGAGCAGCATTACTGCATGCCTGGGGACAATGCAGGCACAGGGATCCTGGATTTCTGATAAACCTACAACTGGACCACTATGTAAATTTAATTTTTTTCTTTTTTTCCCAAGATGGAAGAAATGTATAAAAAAGCCCATGCTGCTATACGGGATAATCCAGTCCATGAAAAGAAACCCAAGAGGGACGTCAAGAAAAAGAGGTAAAATTCTCATTCTTTCTAACATCTGTGTGACTTCTCTGTTGGACATACCTTAGTTACAGTGAAACTAGTAATACAGTTTTGCAGTTCCGTCATTAGTTCTGTGTTCTGGACCAGATTAAGATACAAGCAGTTCTGTATGGTTTCAGAGTTAAATTTAGCAGTAGGAATATAAAATTCAAGAGCTCTTAACTATTTAAAAAATCAAAGTGAAGAATGTTTGTGGCTTGAATAGCTGGAATAGTGTGTACCTTCAGGTCCCAGTGTTTTCCGTGGGAAGGCTGCTTCTCTTCAGCTGAGAGCTCATTGACTATTCTGTCAGTACTAAACTATTTTTATTTTTAAGGGTGTGGGAGAGAAGAAATCAAGACACAGCTGTTGCACTGGGCTTGATAACATCTATGCTTCAGTCACAGAGAATACAGAGTTTACCTCTAGAGAAATTGGAACTGTCCAGCCATGCTTTTTGTGGTGTTTTAACTACAGCTTTAGATCATTATGAGGAAATAAAGCATGTTACAGAAGTGGGACTATATTCTCGTTGCACTCTTAATCACAGTTGTGTTGCACTGCTACTTTTTAGCTTTGGATCTACTGCTCACTGTGCTTCCCTTGCAGGTGGAACTGTCCCAAAATGTCTCTTGCCCAGAAGAAAGACCGCGTTGCTCAGAAGAAGGCCAGCTTCCTCAGGGCCCAGGAGCGCAGAACGGAGAGCTAAGACAACTTCCACAGTTTTCTGTGAAGCTTTGGAAAAAGAGGCAATAAATTTATTGAGGAAGCAACTGCGTAAGACCAGCTTATTTATATAGTTTATAAAAATAGAGAATATTTTTATTCTTTTTATTTTTTGTTAGGTATTCTATACCTGAAAGAGTTCTTTTTCTCCCCTCTCAAAGTCCTGTGTGAATTTTCACAGAGAAGAGAGGTGACAGACTTCAAAGACCAAGGCTGCTGCATCAGAATTACTTCTATAAGAACGAGGAAGTAAATTCGATTAATTTTTAGCATGGTTAGTATCAAGAACTAAGTATAAGAGTTTGCTACTTCTAACTAGAGAAAGATTTTTTTAAAATTTATTTTTAAGCCTGTACCTGTATTTCACAATTCTTTCAGCATACTTCTTGTTTGGGGGGAGTCTGGATGTAGCTTTGGAAAAGGCCAGGAGCAGTCACAGTAGGTTCTAAAGCCTCTGCCCAAAGGTAACCTTAGGCTTTCAGGCACTTGCCACCTCCAAGCCTTGGCTGCTGCTGAATCAGGTACTGTCTTGAGCTGAATACTCCATGTGATTTAGTTGATAAGAGAATTCACTTCAAGTTGCATATACAGGAGTAAGTACAGAAGCCTTGTTAAGGAAACATTATGAGACTCAGACACCAGAGCCTTTCCCCTTGACTCTCCCCACACACTCGCCAGACCATGTTCCCTTCCAGTTCACCCTTAGGGTTCCCTTAGCAGAGCACAGAAAATCTGGTCCCACAAGGTAGTTTATTCCTGGTGCAGGAACAACTGGAGATGGTTCCTCTGAGGAGCACCCCATGGCTTTTATATCCTCACACTCCCTGCCCTCCCTGATGCCAGTGTGGAATTCCTCAGTCTTCTCCTGCCTCCCCTCTCTGTGTCCCTCCACCTCACCACTCAGCAGCTTTCATCTCCTTATCCTAAAGGGTGGCTCCTTCCCAGAGCCCAGTCTGTGTTTCCCTCTGCAGGCTGAGCCACCTGGAAGAGAAGCGTTCCCCACCAGTTTTGTCCTCTGCTCCTTTGCCTCCTGTTTCACAGGCACTTACTTACAGTAGGTTTACACTAGACTCAGACAAACTGTTTGCACAGTTTAAACACCAGTAAAGCAGGCTAGATGGAGGAATGTTTTGCTGTAAGGTACTGGTAGTTGGTGTAAATACTGCTATTGAAAAAAAGAGGCCTGTGATTTATTGTAAACAAAAGTGTATTTTTTTTTCCCAATGAAAGCTTCAACTTTATGCAACAGTAATAAAAATGAAGATTGTGTACAACAAACTGCACTATTAAACATATTCTCCAGTTAAGATACCCAGTGATGTTGGGTATTTTAAATATCTGCCCAAGTAGCAGTCACTGTCAGATTTCTCCACAAGAACATGACCACTTTACACTTTTAGTGCATTGCTGGTTATGAATACTTTTTAGTTCATAGTTGGAGCACGTTAGCAAGTTCAAGACAATAATTAGCATGAGCACAGTATTTCTTAAATTAAAAGACTGATGTTCACAAAACAATCTTAACCCAAGCTGCATATTATTACATCTGGTATGGACAAATTACTTTATTGTGGTCCTGTATTTCAGTATCATCATTCTAGGAATGCATTTAAGACAGGATCCCTACAGCAGTTAACCTTTCAGATACTTAAAACTTGTTCTTACCTCTGCTGAAAATGAATTAAGGGTCCAGGATTCAGAAGTATACAGATGTCTGCCATTAAAATCATAAAGATTGAACAACTTTATACCTAAAGCATTTAAAAATTAAACATACAATAGGTAAGTATTGGCCTATATTCAGGTGTATTATGGACATCCAATTCTGCATAATTATGAATACAGATGTAAATCTGAAAAATACAAGGGTGAAGATTTAAGGTGGTAGAGTGGTCATGCTTTGTGGCGTGCCAGGATCAGGTGATGTTTATTTACTCATGACTTGAGCCTTAACAGTGACTCATAGATGCTACTAGAAAAAAGGAATAGTATCACACTGCAGCTCACTTAGTAACAGCTAGGAGCGAGCTGGAAAATAGCTCATAGGCTCCCATTTGAGCAATATTGCACAATCCTGAACAATCCAGCTTCTGTCCTAAAATTCAGGTCTAGCTCTTGCTTACATATTTCCTGCAGTAGTTAAGACTGAAGTACAGGTCTGTAGCTAAATGTGGAGGGAGCATTAAGAGGCAAGACTATCCACAACTATTGATTGTTTCTCATGTCATACAGCAGATTCCTGCACTATGCAAACTTTCTTTTTTAACTAGTTGGACATGTCTGCTATTCAGTATTTTTAAAAATTCAGTTTTCATACTATAGCTTAGTCCACAAAGTCCTTGCTTTTCACTGTTTGCTACAGCTTAATTTGGATTAGAGGTTTCCACTGAAGTTTTCAAACAGAGGCTGGTATTGCTGCTAAACCATATAAATGACTTTAAGAAATAGTACTCTAAAACTGTTGGCTCCCACAGGGCTCACCATACAATGACTTAATTAAAAAAGTTGAATTACTTAAACATTCAAGATGTAAGCATGAGGTAACAATGTGTAAACAGAATCTGATTTGTCTCATTACAACCTATCCATTCTAGAATAAAATTCTAATTTTCCATAGTTAAAAATTATTTAATGTGCAAATTCTGCCATGCCAAGGTATTAGTAAACTTCAATCTCACAGTTCAGTTTTTCATAACAGCAGCTTGGACTTGGACACATTACTTGCAGTAGTGGTGATTCTTCATAAAACTACTTAGGAAAGAAATCCTCTGCAGGTATTTCACAAGTGGGCAATGTTTTTCACAGAAATGGAAGATGTTGCCTCAGCTGATGTGGTGGCACAGTGAACACTTTCATCCTGTTCAAGATCTGACAAAGTGCACAGAACAGTCAAGCATGCAGAGTTCTTGTTTCTGTAACACAGCACTGAACAGCAGGCAGCCTTCTGGCCTGTGCCGGGTCATTCAGTGGCGTGTTCATTCTTAGACAAGCCCTGTCCTGAGTTACTGACTGAAGGGCAGGACTGAAAGAACCATTAATAAAATCTGAGTAAAGAAATATCTTTTTAAAAAGGTGCAGATTGTTTTTATCAAATGTCTTGGGCCACCTCTAGTGGCAGGCATCAATATTCTCTTCTGCTGGTGAAGAAGCTACGAATCATTTGTATGAGAAATTTTCTTCCACAGTAAAGTTTTTAAGTTATTGAGTATTAAAGAATGCTCCATTTCCATCTGATTTGCTGTGACTTTAAGGGCAATGCACAAGTACAGTTGTTTCTCTAGTTCTTCATGGATATCAGAAGGAGCACCACGAAGCAGATAGTCTTTAAGGAGCTGACAAGCTTTTGCTAAGTTTGGCTGAATTACTTCAGTGGTACATCTCATTTTGCTTTGGTCACATAATGTTCTACAGTCTGTACCATAAACGCAGTCCAAATCTGAGTCGCACTGACGATCTTTAATTATTTCCTTCAAATTAATTTCTGGCACTATTTTTCTCATGTCCATCATTTTCAAATCATATTTATCATTATATCCCAAGTTTTTGGCACTTGTATCACACATAAGAAAGTTTCCGTAAGGTCCGTGGAAAATATCTTCTACAAATTCTAAAAGCCCTATAGCTATTTTTGCCTTTCTTGGCCATGATGGAGTGAACCACTGGTCCATGCTTCTTCTGAAGCCAGAGGGAATGAGAAGTTCTATGATCCACGGAAGGCTGATTCCATAGAGAGAGGTATATTCAACTCTTTCGGTCACATAGAGATCCCCACAAAAACCCATCAGCTTGGGAGTATGTTCTTTATCCTGCAAGATGACCATTAACAGAAACTCTTCCAGCTGCAGGAGTGCCCATGCAGATTTTGCCTCTGGCAAAGAGACTCTTCCATCTTTGTTTCCATCAGCAAAAGACAGGATGAGATTAACCAGTTCTGAAAGATTCCCTTGTTCACCCAGTTTTGCCTGAAAGCAACAAATGAAAAAGATTAAGTATGATTTCATTAACTACTCCCAATCCATCTGTCACTCTGCCTCTGTTCCTCTCCTTCTATGAATAATAGGAAAAACTGGCTATGTTGTGGTTTTCATTGGTTATGAATGTAACAGGACCTGCCATCAGCTGCCTGCAGAGCTTCCTTTTTGTTCTGCTTTCATAGGCACTGAGCATACAATCCTATGAGAACTACCTTTCTTTGCATTTCAAAATGCAAATATTACAATTCAATCATTGTTCTTGATCAGATCAGGCTTTAGAAAAATTGTATCAAGTAGCTTTTTCAATGTTCTTTAAGAAAACGTATGAAGAATTCAAAAGTTTAGATCAGGTTTAGTTTGCAGTTGATTAGACCTTAGAAATGTAGAGGAATAATGTTATGAATTACATTTGGTCCAATTACTAAGGGTACCAAGACAAAATGGAGTCCATAATTACACTGAAATGCTTAGTTGTGTTATTTGATGTAATCACCTCCATTGTAGGACTACAGAGAAAAAAAGCCATTGCTGGAATCAGAACTGTTTCATTTTCAGCCAGGCATATCAACCTTTCCCAAATTTTCCTTAAAACTAGCCTAACACACCTGCTGCTCACAGCAGAGACAAAGCTGTTGCAATGCATGACAACTGACATCAGCCTTACATCATGTTCTCTATACCAATACTAGCAAAATAGACATACAAGATTATTGCCTGCTTCCATCATTTAAAGAATAAGGGGAAAACCCTGTTAATTAGTTACTTCAAACTTCAAATCAGCTCTGGGAAAAACTATTTTTGTGCTGATTATTTATCTAGCTTACCCTTGAAAAAGGCTCATACAACAGGGTATTTTCTCCAGCTTCAAGAAAACAAGCCATTCTGTCAAAATAGACTAAATAAGAATATACTTACTTTAAAAAGACCATATACCATTTCTTTGAATTTCTCAACAGTGGTTCCTCTTGTTGGTTTATCAAATAGGACTATTTCCTTCCTTGGTTCTGGGTCAGTACCAAAATCAAGTTGAGCAGCTTCCTCCATCTGGCATTTTATAACACTTTGCAGATTTCCCCAGATTCCTAAATAGATCTATGCAGAAAAAGAGGGGGAAAGGTAAACACTGTAGATGTTCATCTGAAGACCACCTGTCCTCCAACCATTGCTTTAAGAGTCAGCACAGATCAGGAACTGAATCCTGTGTGCAGACAATGGATGTGGCAATTTGAACAGACAGCCACTGCTGCAGGAGCCACTGCACTGTCAGAACACAGACAGCTCCCCAAACAGCAGCCTGGCATCACTGCCACCTCTGCATAGCTTGTTATGAGGCTGCTGCTTCTACTGGGGATGCAGGATAGCAGAGAAGGCAATATGATGTACAAAGTGTGCACAGTCGGGCAAACTGTGGCAGGATTTAGGATGTATTGTATATGTTCATGTACTATAAAATAACCATATACCCCTCTACATGCAGGACTAATTTCTATTATTGTATATAGGTGCATATTACGTATTTTGATTTGTATTACAGTGTATCTTCTTTGTATAGGTGTGTGTATATATGTATATGTATATATATATATACCTATACAAAGGTATATATATATACACACACTCGCACACACACTCTGCCTGTCATAGCAAATAGAATTTGAAATAATCTGTATTAAACAGATTCAACTTGCTGACACTAAGGTCTACCTGATGGTAGTGGGCAATAATAAAACTAGATTGGATGAGTAAAGCCTTACCTGGTTATTGGGCTTTGTTGACAAACATTTTCCAAAATACAATGTTTCTTTAGCACAAAGACTACTACATGCTGATCCATCAATAACACCAGTCTTGTATTTGTCACACTGAAACAAACAGGGAGAAAAATATTTAACAAATTGCCTAGGAAAGGAGGCAATAACTGTATCTCTTCCAACACCTGAGTCTTGAAAGAAAAACCTAAGAAAAAATGTTAATAACCCTATGCTAAAATATTGTTAAGAGACACAACTGGTTTTGTTTGTAACTGAAGCTGTAATCTTAGATCAGTATGATGGAATATGAGAATTTAATTAAATCACATGTGGCACAGACTGAATTAGTCAAACACTTGAGAAAGCTATACTAAATACACTTACTATTATTTTCCTGCAGTCATGGCCTCTGCAGAGTTCTGTGTAGGTGGAGTACTGAACATACATAATCCAGCTGCCAACAAACACCACCAGCCAGGAGATGAAGAGATACTTGATCCGCACGTACGACAGACGGACCTAGAGCACACAAACAGAAAATATTGTTTGTAATTCACTGAGCAGCAGGACATTTACTATTTCATTTACTAAAAATCATTTACTGTTTCATCTCTAAGGAATTTGCCTTCCACAGTGATAAAATAAGCAGACTGCATTATATGGAACATTTGCTTCCTTCAGTGAGCAAAACTGACAGGGGAGGTCAGTTTCATGTATGTAAGTGGAAGGAAAATTGAGATATAAATAAATAGAAGAAAAGGTATTAGACCCTCACAGGGCAAGCCAGACTGCAGGAACAAATTTGATCAAAATCATTAAATCGCAGAGCTCAATTAAGTGCATTTTTCTCTAAGACCAGTTATCTATGTTCCACTCATGGTAAATCAAACCCAACAGACAAGGAATTTGGTAAAAAAATAATCTGTGTTAATGTGTAAATATGCAAGATAGAGATACAATGAGCAGAAGGGATATCAGGGTCAGGTTCCATATGCTAAAGTCTTCCACTCCTTCCTTGAAATGACACCATTAATTATGCAAATAAAATTCTTCTATAGTAGCCTCACCTTCCCACAACTGTGGGAAGTTGTATGCACAACTTTCCTGTTGTTTCTGTGGCCTCACAAATAGAGTTTTCACAGGGGCAGAAGGAAAAACTATTTATAAATTAAGAATTGAGGGAGACCTAAGTGTCTTACAAAGTAGGAGGGATGTTTTGATCTTTTCCTTCTTTTTTTTTTTTCCTCCTCCTCAGAGTCTGGTGTGCTAACAGGATGATTTTCATATTCACATCAGGATCAGAAACTAATTAGAATATCAGGATCAGCTTTAGCAGCAAGATATAAGGAAGTGGATGAGAGCAGCTATATTTGGTCAGTACAAGATCCATTTCTATCAGTATCCTGATCTTCAGCAATAGCTATAAAAAGATGCTATTGAAGACTGGTAACATATATTATATACACTAAGTGTACTCCCAGTTTCCTCTAGAAGAACTTGCTAAGCCAGATGTAATACTCTATATTTAGTAAATCTCAAATCTTTCACTAATTTACCCAGATTCCCTTTGAAATCCACATAAGCATCCACAACAAACTTAACAATCACAGGTCTACTATTCACTACCACAGTCAGGGACTGGACTTTATTTTGCTGCAGTCTGATTCATATTAACTTTGTTTGAGACCCCTTAGTTCATCTATTGGAAGAGAAGAGTGAACAATCTCTATCCACTCTGTCTCCACTGGCCTGATTTTGTAGGCCTCCATAACACACCTCCCCGTGATCTCATCTCTTTTGCAAATTGACAGGTCCTAACTTGACTGTACATCATGGAGAAATTATTCCATATGTTTGGAAAAGGTTCCAAGGAAGGTAGTAATCAGTTTTGCCATCACACACATACACGGAACTGCAGCAAATGCAAATAAGCAATTTTATTTAACCACAAAGACTGCAGTAATTTATTAGTATTTATTAAAATATAACAACCAACCAGCATGCATGATACTCTTTCTCTTGGAAACAAAAAAATCGAGAAAAGTCCATTTCAAAAGACCCAAAGGTGATTCCAATCCATAAAGCTGTGCCACATGCATCAGCTGTGCATCCCTATTCCTTCACGCCTTCACACAAACTCACTTGACAATCTTAAAACTACCTGGTTAAAAAAGGAGAGAGCTGCAATTAACTTTTTATTCCAGTGATTTTTTTAGAGACAAGTTTCATAAGTTCGGCGTTTTTTAAAGCTATTTCTAATAACTCTGTTATGTAGCAGAACATAATGCATAAAAAACTACTGGTAAAATCTGGGGAAGATCAACAGAAATAAAACAGACAATTTTAGGGAAAGCTGTTTCATGTGTAAAAACTGCTTGGGAACCAAAGCTTCTGGGACAACAAACCCTCTTCATTCCTCAGTGTTTCTTGCTGAATCCTTCCATGAACTTTTATAATACATTTTAAACTAAAGTGCTGTTTAATGAAATTTTGTACTATTGTATCCATTTAGTACAACCTCAGAGACCAGCAGCAGCCTGCAGGCCTCAGGACCACTGCAGAATATTGACCATTCTCCCAGTATGGATACTGAATATATTGTCCTCCTCCTTAGGCTGAAAGAGAATGTACTTGAGACTGAAAATCCTCCCCAAATGCCATCTGACTACCTCATGTATTTGGCAGGAAGTTCCAGAGAAGCTAGGTTTATTTTGAGCTCAGCACTGTGCCACTGGAGTCATGCAGCTTTTGACTTGCAGAAGCTGCCCAGCCAGTTCAGAGCATGGACAACAGCATCCCTCTGCTTACAGACAACCAAGGTTCCACTCTGCTTCAAAGGGAATTACTTCTCTTCTAAGGACTTCGTCATCAACTTCAGCAAAAGGCATGATAATTTGATTTCTTCCCATGCATTCCCCTACCAATTGTTCATGTTCTCCCCAGAACAGTCTGGGAGCATTGACACACGTAGCTCACTTCCCCTGGCACAGGCACACTGTCCCAAATGAGGGCACAGGGCTTCACTGAGCTGCTCTGGCCCCTGAACACAGGGACTTACACTGCTCTGCAGAGCACTGGAACGTTTCTGAGCAGGAAGTTCCAGACAGCATTTAGGGAACAACACATATAGATGGACTCCATTTGAAACTGTGACAAACTGACAGGAAACTTGTCATAAGAACATTTTTAGGGCAACAGAATGACAGAGTTCCAAAATTATCAAAAAAAGGAAAAAAGTATTCAAAACAAGGAAACAGTTTTTTTTTCAAATCTACTCTTCCAGCAAGACTTAAACATGAGCCAGGGAATGCAAGAATGAGGGAAGCACTTGCAATGCTTGATGTTACAGATTCAACTTCTTCCATCACTTGTATATTCTGCTAAGTCATATGCATTGAACAATAATTAGACATTCATCCCCTGAAATAGAACTGGAAAACCACTTCTGGCAAAACTCAAGCCTGGATGCACTCCAAAGCATATGGAGAGTAGTGAATCAACATGAAACATAACTTGACAGATTTTTGGTGAGTGTACTTTTTATTTAAAACACTTTTATGGTTAAAGAGTGTGAAAGTGTTTCTTTGTGTAATAGTACAGAGAGCTTAATTCTGGAAAGTATTACACATAACCATAGTGTAGTAATCTCCAAATCAGAGCTGTTCATTCCATTTGTCTTACATGCTTGCAATAGGAAAGGACAGATGAAAAAAAAGTAGGCCAATCATGTTAGAAATTCTATTTTGTTCTCTGTTCAGGTTGATTTGTCTCTCACAGGAGGCATTTCAGGTAGGCTGACACGATGTCTGAGAGCATTAGCCCACACTGTTTTGGATGCCACAAAAATATTTAAAAGCACACAGTGCGTGCTTATGATTATGCCGGTGTCTTGAGTTATTTTGTATCCAGAGTAACCAAAGTGAGGAAATAGAGCTGAGGTATCTTTTGAAATAGAATAATGACCAAGATGGAAAATGGGACATCTCTCCTTTAAAGGTTAAACAGAGCAGAAGGGATTAAAATCTTAGAGCAAAGAGATTATTTAGGAAATTTCTTCTATGTGGGGCTTTAAACTTGCTTATTCTTTGGCCCTTCAAAGACAGTCTCTTGTACACTAGTGAAGTCCATGAGGCACCTTTAAAGAGGCTGTAAACTTGATCCAGAATCTATAAAGCCAAACTTCCACACATTCAAGTGCTCTTTACATGATTTTTGTCATAAGGAATCCTGCTGGTTAGTCCTCAGCCTCACAATACAATTGGTAACTACAGCTATCTGAAAAGAACTTCAGGACAATGTCCCTTAAATCTGGGACACTAACTCTCCTTGTCAAACAATATCCCAGTGTTAATCACCTAACTGTAAAATCCTATAAATACAATTAAATTATTTTTGTGGTCTTTAGCAGTGTTTAAAAGTTTTTCAGGTTTGAGGGTATTTTTGTTTTGTTTTCTATTACTACATGATTAGCAGTCTAAGCAATGGCAAAGCTTTGTACTTCTGACTTACTATTCTTTGTAGTGACAGGACTTTAACATTTACTCAGGGAGGACCTAACACTAAGTTTTGGGCTGAGCTAAGATAGCTAAGAGTGTGTGCCCTGCTCCTTTTGCACGAGCTGACACATGGCAGGACATCTTTTTTAGGGTCAAAGATCATCAACTGATTACCTATGGGTCTTGCATTCTGCACAAAAGCTAAAGCATGCATGGAGCAAGAGAACATTTGCCAAAGAATATCTGTTGCAACCAGCTCATAACATCCTGCTCCCATTAGGGCAGAAAAGCTGGAACAAGTATTAAGTTCTTACTGACAGAAGCTGATGTTCTGGCAATTCATTTCACAACATAATGTTCAAGAAGTCTGGAACACCAGCCAGCAAAGGTTATAACCTTCCACTGTACAAATATCTCCCCTGGTGTGCTACTTGAAATGCTGCATAGAAACATTGCACAAGTCTTTCTACCTTGCTCACAGCCCTCAGTGAGTTAGGTCTACCTCTTACTTAGAGAGCTTTGGCTTCTTTGCAGACAAATCTCAAAGAAGTGCTCAGCAATCAGTGTAAATCACGACTACATTTGTCATGTACCAACAGTACCATGCAGTGACAAGAAAAGCCAATATATTGATAGTTGCTGCTGTTCTATGGATGCATCAAATATCAACATACATGCACTAACACAGAAAAATATGTTTAAGGTCACAAAGCCACTATTAGTTCTCCTAAAACAAGTCCGTAGAACATGCAAAATCAGCTCTCAGTATAAGAAAGCACAACCAGATTTATTTTTTTTAAATCTGCAATAGAAACAAACATTTAACTTCTTAACTATATTTTTTTATAAATAATTTTGTGGTCTTCTTGTTTCTTAGCAGATTTTAAAAGAACATATTTTGCTTGGAAGGCCTTAAATTAAATTTTGAGAAGAGTAGAGAAGAATATTATCAGACATCACCATATGATGATAAGAAAGAGACTATCAAGGCAAAGGAGGCAAACAATTTGGAGACTCCTCATTTGAAAGGTAGCATATAGATTATTAATTCATTTTTATTGTATTGAAGGCTTTATGCTATGGGAATTAAAATACTGTACAAGTGTCTACTTCAGTAAATAGATCTAGAGTAATCTTTTTTCGTTTAAAACCTGAGTAATATGGACCCAGAGTTGCAGATACATACCATTTTACCCACTGAAGAGGGTAAAATTAGATCTGTATTCTTCTCTTTAAACATTACATCCCAGCCCAGGTACTTCCAGAAAGAGAACTAATTTCTCCTCTTCTAGAACTTTTCCAAATTTTTTTCAAGATTTTAAAATGCACCAATGTGAAGTTTAAAATTTTTTAATCCCATGATCATTAAGCATATCAACAGATGACAAACACATAAACAGAATATATAAGAAAAGTAAACATTATTTAGCTCCTCAAACTCAACAAATGCTCACCTTAATTACAATCTAGTTAAAATACAACCCAGCTGATAAAGGGAAACCCAGTGGATAAACCATCAAGCTACCACAATGTCATGACCGACTAACATTTCACCGCAGAACTTCCTACGACACAACAGCCACAGCACTTCCAACCAAAACATCCTTACTCTGCTAACTGAAGTAATGCAAACATGTACCTGCATATAAAAATACAGAAGTGTGTCTATGAGCATATAAGGAAATGCATGGAGCAGCAGTAGAAAAGTGCCCGATATTAATTTTTTAGAAGACACGCAAAAAAGGGCACGAGTTGCTCCTGCAGGCTGTGGTCCGTGCGCCGACAGGATGGATCCCGCAGCACGGGCGGTAGGTGTAAAGCAGGGGCGCGGAGCACAGCACGGGGCTCGCGGGCCGCGGCAGTGCCGCAGGTGTCGCTGCCCCGCCGGCCGTGCCGTGAGCCCGGGGAGCCGCGGGCCGCCCGCCGCGTAACAGGTCCTGCGCCGGCCGCTCCGCGGAGCGCGCTGCGCCCGGAGGCGGCGGGAGAGGCCCGATCCGACCGGCGGGCGGGCGGCGAGAGGCACCGCGGCGCCGAGGCCGCCGCCACCTGTTCCCGTGCCCCGACACGGCCGGCCGTGCCCGGCGCCGCCGCCTCCCGCCGGCCGAGCGGCAGCGCGGCGCAGCCGAGCCCCGGCAGCCGCCAGGCGCCGGCGGGAGGGGAGCGGCGGCCGCGCCGGGCCGGGCCAGGGGAAGCGGCGAGAGCCCTGCGGGGGGCGCCCGCTCCGGAGGGAACTTTGCGGGGAGGGACGGGCGCCGGCCCCGGCCCCTCGCCGGCCTACCTGCGCGGAATGGGGCTTCCTCAGCCAGGCCCCCGGGAAGAGCCGCCTCGCCATGGCAATCACACATCCCCGCAGCGGGCGGCGGTCGGAGGCGGAGCGGTGAGCAGCGTTCCCCCGCCTGCCGCCGCAGCCGCGCCGCCCGCTCCACTCGGCTCGGCGGGGAAGAGCCGCCTCGGGCACCGGGGCCGCCGAGAGACGGCGGCTGTCAGCGGGCAGGGCGGGCGGCTGCCGCCTCTGCCACCGCTCACGCCGCGCCGAAGGTGCGAACGCGGCAGTCGCGAGGGAGCGAGGCGGGGCTGAGGCGGCGAGGCGAGCCCCGCCCGCCCCGAGCCACCGGGGCTGTCCCCGTCCCTTTCCCCTGCAGGGCCGCCCGGAGCCCGTAGAGCCCACAGCCACCCCCGAGCTCCCCTCGTGTCTGCCAGAAACTGCTCGGGGCCGTCTGGGGACAATTACGGAGAAGTCAGTTAATAAATAACGCGTGTCGTTGATTGCGAACAGGCTCCCGTCATTTACTGGGTAGGGTATTAAAACCAGCTGCAGGCTTCTTACCGTCCTTAAAAAAACGCCAAACACACTAAAACGCCCCGCAAAACCCCAAAAAAGGAGTAGTTCCTCCAGAATAAGGAAGGAGCGTTTGCCTGGACACATATTAACACAGATGAGCAAGTTTTTACCGCGAGGTTGGTAAGAGCAGCCTGAGTAGGTTGTAAGAGCGCTGCCCAGAGTAGCTGTGGGTGTCCCACTTGAAGGCCAGGTTGGACAAGGCTTTGAGCAAACTGGTAAACTGGTCTACTGAGAGTTGTCCCTGCCCATGGCAGGAGGGCTGGGAAAAGGTAATCTCTAACCCCAGTTATTCTATAATTCTACATTAGTGCCATAAAGTGGAGAAACGTTACCTACTTCTTCTTCACCAGGGGATCTCTCAGCTCCTCATACATTGTGGGAAGCCTCAGTCCAATTGAAATTGGTGGGAACACTATTAAGTTCAAGTAAAATCATCCTTTCTTAGGCAAGGTTTGAGTTTTGCCCAGCCTTCTTGCCTTTATGATTTGATTGTGACTTCTTTTAATGCAGTGTGTTACCAGAGTCAAAGCCAGAAGCTGGGAGTCTCCAGTCCTGATGCTTTTTGTCTATGAGACTTCAGGCACAAAGATTATGCCAAGGTGTTGGGATAAAAATGAGACAAACATAGCATGTTGTGACTTGGGTGTTCAGTGCACTTTTCAAAGAACGATGCTTTGATGAAAAGAACAAGTCACAAAATACTACTGTAAGGATAAGCTAACTCTTTTTGGCAGGGCTTACTCTTAAGGAAAGATGTGTGCGTGGAAAGCAAATGTTAGGAGCTTACAAAGAATTTAAAGATTTGTGCTTGAAGATTCAAGAACAGTCTGTGACTGTTTTTTGAATAATATAATCATCACTGCCAGAGTCACCCTGAAGTATAAATCTGAAAATTAATTAGTAAGATTTGGCATTCCTGCAAAAGCAATCCTGGCTTTAGTAACAGCCAGTGACTCTCCCAGGGTTTTCTTCCCTTCCTATTCAGCAGGCCCAGATGGCTGTGCTTTGTGCATCACTTCCCTCTGCAGTTCAGTGGTTTGCTCAAGTTTAGCTGGGTTGTGGACATGCAACAGAGGAGCAATGCAAGAGGAGGCCACAGAGCAAAACATTTTAACATTTTGCTGAATAATCTCAAGCCTTTACTTCATCCAGTGCTGTATGCCAAGCCTTGGAATGACAGGCTGGGAGTAATTGTGAAATGTCGGTGTCCCATATGGCTGGCAAGGATCTAAATGTTTCATTCCTGTTCCATCTAGATCCAAACAGCTCCTGGCATATGTTCATTAGGGGATATATTTTTCACTTAGTACATGAGATCTTCATCATCTGTGAGAGCAGGTGCTTTATTCCAGTACTGAAATGTTTAGTTCTTCTTCAAGTACTCTTTGTGCCCAGTCTTTGCTAAACGCTAAAAAATAAGGCTGTTTCAGCCTTTTTCAGTTACCTGTTAAATTCCTGGTAAAGCTTCAGTAGAGGCAACTCCCATGAAAAGCTAGGCCACATAAGCCATGACAGTAACAGGAACCATGTAACATGCACTGACTTGGTGCTCTCAGGATGTGGAAACCCAAAGGAATATTCTAAGGACTGGGGGGCAGATGCAGAAAAACATCTGCATCTGCCCTCCAGTAGAACATAAGTCATATTGATACATTATCTGCTGTACAGCCTTTCCATTCACACGTTTCCATTCTGCAGTTCACACATCATCCATTTTTGTAGGCCCACACCAAAGCCTTGGTATGTCTTAATGTCCAAGCAGTAGAAGTTATGCTGATTTATTGCTACCTATTAATTCTTAAAGTTTCCTATCCAGCTATAACAACATTAAATGTTATTTTAGTGATGCAGGGGTTTTGTATAAGATAGAAATCGACTGCTAGTTGTACAATGCAGTGTTTGTCACTCACAATGTCAGAAGGTAAATGTGGTTTTATAGTACCCTCTTACATTCACCTGCAACTCCATGACAACTTAGACTGTATTACATATTAGCATAACTCAGAAAAACCAAAAAATGTTTGCAAAGATTGAAACATTCAGGAATTCTAGAAATATAAGGAATGAATATATGAGACAAATGAAAATATTGAAAAGCTACAGAGAAGAACCTGAATTCTTCAAGGTAGTCAGTGTAATGTGCACCTTCAAAATATAATAAATAATTTTATCCAATTTCTTTTGAAGGCAAGTCTCTGTAACTTGAGCAAGTAATACAGGTTTAACATCACATGAAAGCTAAACATTAACTTATTGCAGTGGTGCTGGACTTGTTTCTTTCAGTTATTTGAAGCAGCTGCATCCACATACTGATTTAACTCAAATACTGTCATAAGAGACTCCATGGGAAATCCTCAGGGTTCACCCATTCTCCCCACCATCATATTATATGCAGGGAGTCTCTAGCTAATGTTAATAATCATAAGACTTCTCTTTCTCACAGCAGCTTTACTAACTTCCAATCTGCCTAGAATAGCTTCCTAGATTAATGCTCTTTTGCTCTGGAAGTGCTTAAAAATATTCTATGATCCTGAGCAGCTACTGCAGTCTTAAAGTATTACAGCACCAGTAGAATGTAATGCTCTAGCATTGGCCATTGCCCAGCTTTGTAGCTCCATTTAATAAGTGTATTTACACAATATATAATATGGTAATGATTTAAAATAAAATCACCTTCATTTCCTAAAATCAAGCCTAGAAAAATTTAGAGGTTTCTCTCTTTTTGTGCCACTCAGCTATCTACTTGCTCATGTATCTGTCTAGGAGTCTGTTTTTATACAGACTCTACTTTCTTTCTTTCTTTCTTCTCTAGGCCTGTTTTTGCGGATGAGAACAAAGATCTGGGGATCCATCCAACCTTTATATCTAAACTTTCCCTCATGTTCCCTTCAGAGAGAGACACTGTTTCCTTCCCCTTTGCAAATTTCTGTGAACTCTGACTTAATCAGTGTATTAGCTTTAGATTTATCCTAATAGATTATTTCCTATTATTTCCTATTCACATTCTTACAAATGCTAATGCTTCTACTGCTTGAGTAGGTGGAACCACCTCTTACCCAAAAAGCAGACACAGCCTGTTAAGGATTCCCTTGTCCCTTAACTCAGTATAAACAAATCATGAATCTATTTGAGGAAACGGCATACGGGTTTCATTTCTAAGGCTCTATTTACATGGTCACTTAAACCTCACATAAATCCACCCTGCTGCTGAGGCAGATGGTGTCACCTTCTCTTGCTGTTGGTGCCTACCTTCTCCCCTGGGCTGGCACAAACATTTCTCTCGTTGTATAAAGAACTGAATCAATGATCTGAACTAAAAACTTATCTTGACTCTTTTTTCCTCTGAGATAGGTTAGAGGCAGTCCAATTCCTTTCATCAATAGCTTGGACTTACATGGGAGCAAAAGGCTGTTTATAACCACTGAAAACTTTACCTTATTTAAACACAGCTTGTAAAAGATAATGTTTTACCATCAGATAAATTGTATAAATGTATGTGACTCATTTGTAGCTCTTGACTGAGATTAGATACAATCATTATTATTAAACATTCAGAGATACTGATTAATTTGACATACCAGTCTTTGCTTTAAGGGACACAATGTTTACACTTTTATTCTGATATATTTTTAAAAATTCAAAATGTACTAAAAAACATTACGGTAAATAGGTCTTAATAACATAACATATCTAGAGTAAATAGGTCTTCAAAATCCAGAATAGAAAGCTTTACAATCCTATATACCTTAGAGGACTAAGAAAACTCCATAAATATTGTACTCAGAAGAAAAAATTTGAAGGTGGTCAATTGCAAGCAAATGCAAAAGAACAGTTTGCATTTATATTTGCATGTCTGTATTTCAAAGTCTACAAAGACAACACAGTTCAGATTCAATCAGCCAGTAAAATTAGGTTTTCTTTGTACATATTTATGCTTTCAAGTCTACTTCCACTATTAATTGCTGGAGTTGTGATGTTCAAGAATTTTACCCAAGATTAATTGAGATTATATGTTAAAATGCATGGTCAGAATACACTTGCTAGCCTTAATCTATTTCTGGTTTGGAAAGCCTTTTATAATTTTCAGATAACTTATTTTCAAGGTGGAGATTTTACTTAATTATCCTGGATGTTTCCTTCTTTGAATTAGAGTTGAAGCAAAGTTATAATCCCCTCTGAACTTTTTTTACTTGAAGTAAAAGACTTCTTTGTTCTCTTTTTTTATGCTTGTGGTGGTCATCTGTTAAAAACCACAAACCTTTTATAACAGAAATGTTAGTCTTAATTCCTATTTATGGACTTTCTAATAAACAGGCTAGCTGGCATTTTCTTCATGCCTTACCCCCATTTCCCAAAATTCCTTCCCCTGAATTAACACTTGCACCTTCCTGCTTACCTTATAAGGTAAAAGAGAGAGCTAGAAAATATCCAAGTCCTAGCCCACACTCTTTAAAAATTCCTCTTAGGTTCTAAATAGTAGATTCCAGTACTGAAGCTGGTGCATACTGATATGAG